TGTCGAAAGTCAAGGTAAATAATACAATAACAAAAATATCACGACGAAACGACAATCGATCCTCTCGAGTTGTCGTTGCGAGTAAAAAGTTTTTCGTAATTTAAATTAAGAAAAAATTAAGAAGAAAGAATCTAGCTTTGGTCTGTTAAACTCCTCGAGCACTAATAGCGTGTTCCTTCTGACTAGAAGTCGAATCAACTTTGTCTCTCGATCGACCAATTTCCCAATTTCTATCCGACTTTGACGCGTCGATTCTGGGGCCAATTTATTTCTTAATAAAAAAAAAAAACGGTTCGAAGGTAAAATTCTCTCGCGATTATTTTCACGTGCTGTCGGTCATTTTGTCGTCGTCCTTGTCGTCCGTGTGCTCCTGCATAGTCACGTCGTCGTCCTGCGTGTCCTCTTCCTGCATCGTTTGCAGATTTTCTACTCGATTGCTCGTCTCCAACGCGTTACAAATCTCGTTTCCGTGTTGGTCTAGCTTCACCCATACGTAACGACCAGGTAGCGGTTCTTCCTTCTCGAAGTCGAAGTTCCACCTCTCCTTGGCCTGTGCTTAAACAGAACGTAAAGAAAATAACATCCCGCTGTGATAACGCGCGATCGCGAACAATCGAGTAATTTACACACGTTCTCGCGATTTTTTCGCGCCTCCTCGAAGAAGCAATTCGCTAGATTGTCCTCGACGCCGGAATTTCGACCGGACTCCGTCTCGTTATCGTCGTCGTCGTCGTCTTGAAACAATCTTCGGCGTACGCTGCGCAGCCTTCTTCCGTCCTGCGCGTCGATGTTGGGATGCATCGTCAGCCGAGCCCTTTGCATGTTCAGAGACGAGGATTGCGTTAAAAGGGAATTTAGAGAAGTTCGAAATTTTGTAGAAATTCAGCTCGGAGGATGTTAACCCCTTGGTGTATGATTTCTTTTCTTGACTGTGCATCTAAGCGTCGGCCATTTACGGTTTTAGTATTAAGTAAGAGAAGCTGATGTTTTAAGGTTAATTAAATTCGGCAATCTTCAGTTTTACAAATTAAACCGAAAATTGGAATTGAAATGAATTTTTGTTACTGATGTAATTGTTTTTGCCGGATTTTGACCAAAATCTGCGCCACGAGTCTGACTTGTTATTATACGGCAAGGGGTTAATGACGAAACTGTTTCTTATTTCGGTAATGAAACAGACCTAAGGGTGAGACGAGATGAAGTTCTGTGTTGAACTGACAAGGGAAGTTTTAAAAAATTTGAAACTTTGCAGGAATTTAGTTTGCAACATTTTTCGTTTCGGCAGTGAAATGGTTTTAGGGGTGAAAACAGTTCCTCTTAAAGAAATTGTGAGTTTTCGTATTATCGTGAATATTTACAAAATCGTACAAGGCATTGGAAAGAGGTTGAATTCAGAATCATGTTTTTTTTTAATATCCTACATTGTGGTGGTAAAGAATTTTCGAAAAATATATATTTTTTTAAATTTACCCTCGTCACCCTTTTTCGATGTGTGTTGGGTTCCCTTGTGAGCTACATGAATTTTTAAAAATTTCATTTTATACTAATGCGAGTGAGAGGGTTTGCTGGATGATAAGGATAGTAAGTAGGAATTTCCTCACTTGATCCTAGAGGTTCCCCTGGCCTCTCTCTTTGTCCATCAATAGAACTCATTTACGAGGCAGTGTTCTAGTATTTAAATTATAGTTGCTGGAAGTGATATAGTGAGGTCGCAAATTAAAGCATTAAACAGGACCAATTGATGCAGTATTCAGTATCGAATGCGACACTTTTCGTTTCTCAATTAGAACTAAATCAAAGATAAAGCATACTGTATGCATCCTTGACTGAGATTTCGTGTCCTTATCTTCTCAAATTTCTGTCAATTCACTTGTCTGTATGCTTAAACATGTAAACTTCGACGCCTGACAAATTTCACGACATCCCATTTCTTCCTTCAACTATACCAATTTCGAACAGCCCTGATCGATGCTCGATCTCCTTATCTCCCTCGAATTGCTGTTTCGACACTCCAATTACCTGCACTCTAACGCTCGACTAATTTTACGGCCCCGCTGTATCGCTTCCACCAACTGTGCCAAGCCCCATTATAATTTACCTCACACCAGTAGTTGAAATAGGGAAAAAAAAATTTGAAAAAGCTCACGTTAACCTAACCAAAGTGTTGGTCGCGGAATTATATGAATCACGGTGAGAAACATTTTGAATACCAAAGAAGACGAGGGGGGAAAAAAAATGGCGCGGAAGAACGCAGACGAGACGACATGGTGCACGCGAGCACAGGAAAAAAGGATTCTTTAACGCGGTCCGCAAGGCAGGCTTTAATTAGCAACGTGCCACGCACGATTTAGCATAGATAGTAGTTCTTTGTGGTTTGTAAACAATGTGATATGCATCGAATGAATTGCCGCATCGCAGAGTGCGCGCCAGTCTCTACACGTGTGTCGACGAAGGAGAAAGAGAGAAAAAGAGAGAGAGAGAGAGAGCCGAAGGGAAACCACTCTCAGCCAATATGCCGTTCAACGGATGTATTGGAATGCATATCACTTCCTGCATGAGAACGTACGACCGCATACCGGATAATAGTTGTTATTCAACATACAGACGTGATAAACTTTCACGTGTTCAACACCGAATCCCGCGAGCAACAGTCAATATTCGCCGAGACGAACATTGTCCACGTGAGATTCGCGAATTGTCGCTGTCCATGTGAAATTGCATCGCTTACCGATAATAGGCAGGTCAGAAATATGGTTTATCGACCGATTCTGCATTTTTACCGAAAAGCAGCATTCACATGGTTGCGTTTTTAATTGTTTAGTTAAAAAATTTGTATTTTCGCCATTTCCCACGGTTCGTACGCAATTTGCTCTATGACACTTCTATAAATACGATAAAGAAAAACATGACGGCCGTATCGACGAAACCGAATCGGTGATTTTACCGTGTACACAAATGTGAAATGTGCTTAATAAGGCGAACAATTGGTTTGGCGAATGAACGATTCGTCGTAGTGTGAATAAGCTATTACACACTCTACCGAATTCATTAATTCTTACGTTTGGGAGGTGAACGTGCGGCGAAAATACAGAACCGTGTGAACGTAGCATTTGGTTGCTTTCGATTCGACAAACATATCGAATCAGTCAAAAAACCGCATCGACTGAACTGGCCGTAACACACTTCGACATTTTCATCGTGTGAAAGCGAGCATTATGTTGCTATTTTGTTTCTCTATCCGGTCATGAACTGGTTTCGTATCAGAACTTTCGCTGCTATCTATGAAGCGTTGCATGGCAACCTGAGAGATTTAATCGTGAACAATTTCAGTAGTATCGGTGATTTCGCGATGTGGAGCACAGGTATAAAGTGCAATTTGATTTCTTCGTGAGAAATATAAAAGATAAACATGAATGATAATTATCAGTTGAAATTATGTTTAATTCAATTAGATCGCATTCTGCGTCATCCGACTTTTTCAAAGTTAATTTTTCGCGAACGCGGTTAAGCGTAAGGATCGTCAGACTCTAAAATTTGTTTCGCATATTTTACCTCGCTGTAACAAACAGACCAATTTTCTCGAATTGTTCACCGAGATCTAACTAGGATTACCTCCACATCGGTTACTAACGTGCGAAACTCGGTATTGCGGACGAATCTGTAGCATAACTTTAGTCGGGGTGCATAATCAACGGGCGTGTAACACCTTGCGTAAAACAAAGAATCCGTGCAAAGAAGCGTGCACCTGCACGAGCTTCACATCCGCTGTTTACGCTCGCGATATTTTTCGTGTCAATGTTTATCCGCCTGGCCGGTCAAGAGGACACACTAGCGACTCTTAACTGACAAAGTTCACGTTGAAAACTACCGATACATGCAGAGAGCTACATACGCTCGACGATACGGAACGAAAACACTGGTATACAATACCGTCGTGATTTTCGTCTACTCACAGATCGAGGAAGAAAACGTTGGAAGATGAACGGCGAAATTATCCGTATATTAGGAATCACAGAAAACACGTTCCCGAGTATCACAGTTCACACTCGTTTCATTCTGAACAGATCGAAACGCGTGTCTTCCTTCCCCGAAACTGCGCCCCCACGATACACGCTGTCAGCTGGCGAAAAGTTCTTAGCTTGAATAGCAACTCGATCGATAATCCCATCGTTTCCCTCGGGGGTGTGGACTGGTACTAAGCCATCACGGGGGGATACTTTAATGCGCGCGCACATTGCAACGAGCGAGATGCTCAGTGCGCATTCGCACGGGTATCAATATTGACACTTTCCGACTGTATCGACGTGCAATCGTATGTACAAAAACATACATACCACCGCGACGCTTCGTTCCGAAATCTTTCAATCGTGGCCAACACTTGGACTGTTAGGTTAGGTTCTCTCCTCTTCCTCTACTTTTTCCTTCGTTTCTTTTTTATTTTATATTCGCGTCGCTTCTTGTCAATTAAGAAAGTTTGGTTACCATATGGATCCGCGAACAATCATACTGGTTTTGTTTTATTGTAAACGCTTTTTATACATGTATATATATAGCCCGTGAAATAATCTAGCCTCGAACCTTGTCACTTGCCGAGAGATAATCTCGTCCGCGAACCTTGTCACTTATCTAAATTCACCGACTCACGTCGTTCCTGACCTTCGAGAATAACTGATACTATTCAAGTGTTCACTCTCGCGAAATCGATAAACGCACGATAAACAGAGAGACGTAAGAAATTCGCGCGGAGCGTTAAACGAGAGAGATAGAGACGACGGCGACGCGTGGCCTGTAGCTGATGCAAGGCTTAAAGTGCGACTGACAGAAAGTCGGAATAGTTACTTGCATCCCAGGTGCAGCTGACTAGCCTAGATTCTGCTTGCGGACTATTACTTACCAGCAACACAGTGCAACGGACGCATGCGCGAATACCCATTAACCGAGTGATTCATTGTGCAGTCGTTCATCCTTTAGGAGGACGCGAACTTGTCGGTCGTTCGCGTCGTTCGTCCGTGGAAAAAAATCTGCTGTTCCGCGAATCGATCAGACAGAGAAGAAGAAGAAGTCTTAGCAGGAAACCTTATTGCGTCTACGAGGTGTCGCGATTCATCGATCGAGTATCCTCTCATTCTCGTCCACGAACAATATCTTGTCTTCGAGGAATCGTCGAATAGAATAACACACTAGAGGAGGGGGAGTTGATCGTTCGACGAATATACTTTTTCTTAGAGAGGAAATTCGATCGTGAAATTCTATCGATGTGATCGAAAGCTCGTCGCGTATCGAATTATTATTCCGTATAGCGATAAACCGATCGATCAAATATATTCGCGGGCTGGAATTAGAATCGGATGGAATTGTCAGTTGGAGGTTAGGAAAAAGATAGATGCCGGTATATGCGTGTGCGTCTGTGTGTGTTCGCGTTGCTAAGGGAGAAAAACTGCAACGTTTCCGTGAGAGAGTGTAGTCGATAGAATGGCGGGAAGTAGAACGGTAGGAAATTCTCACATATAGATATACTCGTATTCTCCGGAGGATTCTTCGAAGGTTGTAAGAACGAAAAAAAAAAGTGGCAGCTGGGAGGCAAGCATCTAACTGAAGCTCGCGATGCAGCCTGGAACGTCTTCCTTTTCTCAGTTTTCCTCTTTTAACCTGCAGCTCGCGCGATTCCTTCCAACGATTCGACCTCTTTTAAAAGCCACGCAGCGCAAACCGTCGCGTCGTTTAACCGTACCGTTCCGCTCCGGTGTTCCGCGTCGTAACTTCCGAGGAAATTGCTGCAACTAGATCGCGCATAATTTCGCCTCACTTGCTTCGTTTCCTTTTTTTCTTCTCTTTTTTTTCCTTTCTTTCGGTCTATTCGTTCGGATGTTCCTGGCACCTGGACTCGGTCTTTTTCCCTTAGCAACCCACGCATCTGTCGATCAACGAGCACGCTCTCGAAAGGCTTCATACGGCACGGCGGCTTTTTAAATATGGCGCCATTCATTTTTCGCGCGCTTGACGACAGCTGATGTGTCGAATACTTGCGTTCTACCGTGTCGCTCGAATTTCAACGAACTTACGGCGAACGATGTATCAGATTGGACCATAAGTTCGCGTGACTTTTTCTGAATATGAAAATAAGCATTTAACGTGAATTAATTAATGACGTATTCTGCATCATTATTCATAATTTCTCGACGTTCTGATAGTCTTGAATTTCTTGAAATCCTATTCAGAGCATTTTGGAGGAAGTGAAAAAGCCTAGCCTGGCGAATATAGCGGAAGCTGAAGAGCCATTTTTCTCATCAGCTTTAGAACCACGATTAAACTCACAAAATAAAATATTTCAGAGATGCTCATATTTATTAATCTGACGTTCCGTGGTTTTTGAACAAAAATCTTTTTACTATCAGGATAAAGCAACAAAATTCGAAACGACAAAAAGTCTTTTTACTATTATCATGGAACGAGAAAATTCTCTATAACGTAAAAGAAGAATGACGAAAAATCACACAGCCGATAAACAAATATTAATTTTTACGCCTCGATAAGGTAACTTAGATTCTCGATGACTTTCCTGCCGGAAAGTCCAGCTTTTTCAGCTTTTCACTTCGCGATCCGATTAACTATATTCCTATGGTAGCTAATTTGTTTCGTACTGATTTGGACTTCTTTTCCATAATTCGACGCGTTCAGAAATATCGTTGCCTATGCAATCAATATGATTGCCTATGTACACTAACGAGCTTCATTTCCCTTTTGCTCCTATTTCAATAAATAACAACACGAAATTCAAACTTGACGAACTCACGGGCGAACCCAATATCCCAGATCCGGATGCAAAATCAGACCGTTTCTTTTTCAACGCGTACTTCCGGAGCGTTTGAAAAATTTCATACTCCTTTCGAGTACAATGGGAACGTTGAATAAGCCGTAAAATTAATGATACGCAGGATTCTTTCGATTCGTCGCGTGCAACCGCGCGTGACATCTTTTGGTTCCTCGACTGTATCATTCCCCCTTTCGAACGGCTACAAAAATTGCGAAGGAGGAATCGAGCGTGTTGCTATCCAGCAATTATTCCGCTCGAGGTCCTCGGTGGAGAAAGAAATGATTTTCTGTAATGGAAAGGACACGCCGAGCTGAATGAGACACGATTTGCATTTCTTTTTTTGCCGTTCTCGTTCGTCGATCGTTCCAGGATAAGGATCTCGGGCAGACGATCGAGGAAGTTGACCACTGGAAGGCATCCAGGTTAAAGTTTGCAGTGTCCACGTTGTGCTTAAACGTTTCGCGGGTGTGACCAGCATGAACGTGTCCGGTGGACGAGCGCGTCTGATTAATATTAACTACGCTAGAGAAGCGGACCGTTACCGACCAAAAAGAAGCGCAACTGTACAACACGCTTTTTTTCGTCCAGACTTCTCAACGAATCCCGTTCGAATTAATTTGCCTCGTTTCTTTTTCCCTTTCTTCTCCTTCTTTCTTTCTCGACGTGAATACTAGGCGTGACGAGTTTACTCTTACGAGTAAGTAAGTACGTATGCACCTTCTTTGCTCGTTCATAAAAACACTTCACCGTGAGAGTAAATCGCGGTCGATCGATTATCGGGTTACACTTACCTTGCTCGCGTCCTTAGCTCCGTTTCTTTATCGGTCGTCGTGAAAAATTCCATAGTTTCTCTCGCTCCGGTATCACCGTCTTATCGTCGATCCTTTGTAGACGTAATTCATTGCCGGTAACGAACGATGGATCGCGTTTGTGATACGTGCAAACAGGTGACATCATTCAAGACTCCCATTTATCCTCGATATTACCTGATCAAACATCGCGACGGGGGAATCGTTCGACTTTTGATTTGCTTATCGATAATTGCACGAGCACGATTAGTTTGTTTTGAATCGTTTGGTTAGATGGGTTTAACGGAATTTCCACGAGAATCGGGAGAGATTCGTTGTGGCTTGATTGTCGTTCTGCTTTTAAGGGAGTGTGGAGTACTGCGGCTTTTGGAAATAGGTGAAAGTTTGGGAATTTTTTTTTGTAGGTAACTATTAAATGGAAAGCTTCAATTTTTCTTTTTTTTTTTTTTTGAGAGGGAATTAATGTCATTTTCAGCTTTATTCTCTAATTTTTTGAAAATAGAAAGATCGGTTACTGACCGCCATCGCTGGTAAGGATTGGAACGGAAAGAAATTTTTTCCCCTCTTCAAACTGCTACAATTTCTATAGTAATTACAATTTTCGGAAAATCCTACGCTGCATTGTAAATAATACATTTTTATTAATAAATCAAAAGGAATTTTTTTATTTCAGACGCTTCGATCCTTGTCTGCGATGGCAATGGAAGAGGTTCTGCATTTAGCAAATAACTCCACCATTTCGTAACAGTTTTACTTTTCAAAAATTGCAGAGAAGAGCTGAAAGTTGCATTTACATCCTCCAAAAAAATTGAAACTCAGTGGTTACTTAGGAAAAAAATTTCCTTCGACTCCCGAAGATGGTGCACCCCTTGAACACGTACGCAGTTACCTTCAGAGACACTTTCGGTGATGCTGTCCCGATTTGAGAACGTGGAAGTCGTTAAACAGGCGATTTGTAGCCTCCTCGGACGAGCCTGGACGACGAATTCCGAACGGTTTCTATGAATGGAATGCATATTCATTCATTCCTTCGCGGTATCGACGATGCACCTGTTCCTCGCGGATCCCAACATATGCTAAAATCTTTTATGCCAACTGTCGCTTCCTGCATGTATCCGCAGACCTTGAAATGTATTCCCACCGAAACAAATCACTTACGTTAACTTCGACCAAGTGTTGGAAGAAACTGTCGTGGACGCGCACGATCTTAGCCAAAAGGATTAGGCACTTGGTGAATTATTTAAAAATATTCTCGTAGTAGAAGAAAATCAAACTATCGAAATGTGAGAACAATCATTTTTTATTAATTATGTCTTGCGATGGTTTGAACTGCAATTTCCTTGAAATTTCCTTGGCATGTTCCAAAGAAAACACTCCAACTTTCCCAAAATTAACAGAAAAACTAACAAATACCAACATCAGACCGTGATTTTCACGAAGAAGCAAAGAATGTAGACTACAGTTCACCTCTTTCAAAATTCCTTTGATCTACCCGACAAAGAGAACAATAGAAGACTTTCAGAGAGACAGTTTCTCGGTAAGTTGCAATAATAAACCTGCCTAATACTCTCCAGCCAAGCCTGCACATTCAACGAACGAGCCAGGAATCTATTCCAAACGTCTCCCGTATTTCAGACGTAAGATTAAAAGACTAGCTTACTTAAACGAATCTCGTCTCTCTGGAATTCCTTCCGTCTCTACAAAGGGCGAAGTTCGAAACGTACCATTGGTATCGGTATCAGAACACGTTTGCTCATTTTCTCGTCCATTGTCCAGGATCCGTGGCTCCTGGTAAACACCTTTGGTCCTTCGAAAGGACTTTAACCCTGCGAATAGTCTGTCGGCGAAGTTTCTTTGTGGAGGGAAGAAGAAGCGAAAATAAACGCAACGAACCCTATCGAACGAATAGAGGGGGCTAGAAGACCGCTCGACTTAGCGACACCCTTGATAATTATTCCCCTTTTTTTCTCTTCTTCCCTGTTTAAACGTCGACTGGAATCGTTACCGGTGGTGGGTCCCCCTTTTAGGGCACGATCCCGAATGTTTCCTGTGCCCGGGCACGTTTTCTGGGGGCGGAAAGTCACGGGAGTGAAGTCGAGCGTCGACTCACGTGCGGCCAATCTGTCTCCTCTGCGGTCGCCGAGCGGAGAGACATTTATAGAAACGGGGAGAGACCAGCGACGACGTCTGGTAAGAAAAGTATAAAGGAATGCCTGCAAAAAGCGTAAATCACCGCGAGCCGACTGTGGACGGTGTTGAAATGATTGAAATTAATTAGGCTAAGCTTACGTTCGTTATGCAAAACGACTAATCGCACCTGTTATGCTAAACGATTCACCGG